AAGCAGGCTTCCCGCGGAGCAGGGAGCCCGATGTGGGGCTTGATCCCAGGACCCTGGGATCATGACCCGAGCCGAAGGCAGACGCTTAACGACTGAGCCATCCAGGCGCCCCAGTAATAAACTTTCTAAATCGTTTTTTTTCCAAGGCAGTTGTCTCTCTATCTGTCACCTGATCATACCTGATCAAAATAAAAATCTCAGGTTCATCATCAAGACAGCAGGGCCGTGCCCCAAGCCAAGAAGAACAGCAAGAAAATCCCTTTCTCCTTTCCCTGCTGTGATGCCTTCTCAGCACTTCCCTGGGTTCATGGGAACCCCTCCAACTTGCTTTCCCTGGCACTGGACCTGTACCAGCGGCACCTGGTGATGTGGATCTTGGGAACCCCTGCCTAATGTCTGTGCCTGTCCCCTTCGTCTCCCTTTGGCATTGTGATCTGACTTATTTATGGAACCACCACTTGAAATATTATGTGCACCTGGCATTTCCAGACCAGAGCAGACACAGACCTCCCTGTCTGCTCCAGACAAGAGGACAGGCATGGAAATCCACATTATCCTCCCCTGTAAATCAGCCCAGTCCTCCAAGATTCCCTTCCAGGGCCAAGAGGATTTTCTTCAGAAAGGCACTGATGCAGGCAAACGTCCCAGAGTAAGGAGGACGTGGCTTTCTTCTTGTAAATAACTCCCACTAAAGAAATCACTACTCGAGTTTCCAGCCAAGGGAGCCATAAATCCTTTGCAGGAGAAGGCAATTTATGGAGCGTTCTCTGACTCTTCCCATAGTAACTGATGGAAATACAGGGTGCACATGTGATGCTCGGTATTCAACGCCTTTCACTGGCCATGGCAATAGGCACTTGGATGGAGGAGCCTGGAGACACATCAGAGGGTGTAATTTCAGATCACAAGTAGGCAGCAGTGAGATGGGTCTGTCTCTTCCTATTCAGCTGGGTGTCCTGCCTTTCATTTTAATGTGTCCCCATAGCCCATTCTAGGGATGAATTGACTTGGCATGCGTTGGGGGCTCCCAGACAAAGAACTGACTGCCGAGAACCTGGGATGTGTGTGTGAAGGTGAGCTGTGTCCCAGTGGGCCAGACAACTGTGTCTCCCAGGTGGCGGCCCGGGGGCTCAGGCAATAACACTCGCCATCAGCTTCACACACCTCCGAGGCGGCAGCTTCTGCCTCCGTCCGCCGCCATGTGGATGCCTTGCTCCGATCGGTTAACACGCCCACTGTGTCTGTCCCTCCAGGGGCTCCCGTACAAACACCTGATCACGCACCACCAGGAGCCCTCCCACCGCCATCTGATCAGCACCTATGATGACCATTACAACCGGCACAATTACAACCCTGGCCTGCCCCCACATCGTACCTGGAGTGGACATAAGATGCTGTGGCTCCCAGAGAAATCCGACTTCCTCCTTCTCGGTATTCGTATAATTCAGGATTTCGCCCTGTGCTGGGCGGTAAGGGGTCCACAGCTGCCCTAGGGCTGTGGGTGCTGAAAGACTCACACAGAGAGCATTAGTGTGACCCGAGAGGGGGGAGAATCCTATTGACCCGCAGGGCTGCTGTTTGCCACGCAGGTGATATTTGCTGTGTGGTGAAGCCCTCACCTGTGCGCCATGCCGGTCTGGGTTTACTGGTAGCACGGGTGGCAGGAACAGCATCACTGCCCTCAGATCCATCATTTGCATAAACAGTGATGACCGGTGCATAGCACCTGGGGGACACAGGAGTGACAAACGGGGAGGAATTCCTGCCCTTGGGAGAGTTGTCATTCCAGTGTGTCCCAGATAAGACACTGTTAATGGATAACTTAAGATCTGGCAAGTAAAATCATTCTGAACCACCATATATGTGCCATGAAGCAAAGATACCAGGTAAGGAACACAAAGTGAGGCAGGTATTTATGAATCTCCTTTGGGTGGAATGATGAGGGATGGTCTTTCTGGAAGAGAGAGTTGAGTTGAGAAGGAGGGAGCCATATAGGAATTGGGGGGGGGAGAATTCCAGGGGAGGAAATAGCAAGTGAAGACACTCCGCAGCAGGAAGACCACTTCGGGGCTCATAGGCCACCACGAGGAGTGTGGATTTTGTCCTTCCAGCAGCAACAGGACTTTGAAGGGATTTTTGTAAGAGAGTGCCTTGATCTGATTTGCATTTCAAGCTACCCTCCTTCTTTGCATCCAACTTTTTGTACTCCCTACCCTTCAATGCAAAGGGACCTGCTTCTGATGCTGAGTGGCTTGTCACTCTGCATTACTTTTGCAAGGGTTTCTCCTCGGGATCAGTCTCACAAGCCTGCACTGCACCCTTCCCTGCTACCGTAGGACAGCCCCCCAGAAGCCGGCAGGCCACCCTCCACCAGTCGAGGGGCTGACTTTTCCGAGGCCTATGTACCAGCGCCTGGTTCCTCCTGAGTACGCGGGGAGCCTGCCCCACCCTGAGCCAACACTCCTGCAAGCCCTTCTTCCCTCCGGAGCCAGCCTCGGTCCCGGATATTGCAGCCCTGGAAAACACATTCTTCTGGCAGGTCCATGCCCCATTCACCCAGACCCTGGTTTCTTTTGCAGCTCCCCCTACAAACTATGGACTCTATGAAGAGCTGCAGCAGAGATGGCTCGCACCCAAGGCTGCCCCGAGGGAGAGCATTTACACCTCGTCCTACCCCAGACCACCACTCTATGCTTTGTCCCGGCGGGAACATGCCATCCCCGTCCCTCCCCCTCGTCTGCACCCTGTCCCACGCTTCTGAGAGCTGCCAGGCCACGGGCAATGCAGGCAGAGCCAACCGGAGCCCCACTGTGCTGTCCGACTGGCCACGCAGCAGGCAGCCTGTAGACACACCCAGAGTTTTAAATCCGGCCCCGCCGAGAGGCCCTTAGAATCACGGTCTGTGTTTGAAGGTTTCCGCCCCTCCTCCAAACCCTCAGGTTCCTTTCTTTTCCATCCGACAAATAAAGCTCTTTGACAGAATGGAGTGTCATGTATATGCAGAATTGTACAGAATGGCAGAAGGCCCTCTCCCTTGTTTCACATGAGGGGAAACTGAGGCCCAGAAAGGTAACATGATTCCTGCAAGTTCTCACAGTGGGGTACCTACCCTCCAGGAGTGTCTGGTCCATACAGAAGGCGATCTGACCACGAGACCCACCGCAGAGCTCCATGACATAGTAGAACATGGTTATGGGAGGGCACCCCGTGGGAGCTGGCCGTCAGGGAGGGGTCCAGCCTGTCATTGCCTCCCCAGGGGTGCACTGAACCCAGGGTTCAGAGGAAGCAAGACACACAGCATCTCCCTTCCACCTCTGAGCTCTCAAATCCTTTTCTGGGTTTGAGGATGGGGAATTTTTCAGCCAGTGTTTCAGAATGAGGCTGGACCTGCGGACAGAAGATCCCGGGCGCTGTCCTGGTTCAGGGACTTGGTGCTGTCCCCACCAAGGATGGAGTCCCCCAAGGCACATTCTGCCACCTAATGTGGAGTCCAGCCTCCAGATGAGCACGGCCAGCCCGCATCTGCCCTGTCAGGGCGGGGTCCGAATGGCCTTCTCTGCCTTCTGCCTCCACCCCAATTATCTGCATTCATTACTGTAGGCTCCGCGCTCGGTGTATACTTGGTGCTGAATCATCCTTGGCTGGATGAACGAATGAACCATTGTCTCTTTTGGGGCTCCTCTCTGGACCCATGCTCACCCCGATCACCATGACCCCCTCCTGTTCCACCCTCTGAGCCCACATCTAGCTGCTTCCCCACACCCCTGCCCCAAGGTGGACCTCTGTCCAGACCCCAACCCATCTTGATGCCTAAAGACCCCTTATTCTTCCCAGAACTCAGCTACTCCCACTTCTGAGTCGGAGAAAAGTGAGCCCCCCAACACTCCCCCCGCCCCAGAATCCTTCTGCCAGCCTCAGAGAGGAGGTCACCTCTCTGCTCCTCCCTCCTTTAGAAACTGGCCATCCATCCGTGGCAGGGCATCAGTACAATTCTGAGGCCCTGCCAGCTCATCTCACAACCACCACTACAAACGGTTGTTTTTTCTGTTTTGGAGAAAAAGAAATGAATAGAAGTATTTTTCCATGAATCTTTTCCTTACGTTTTTGGCACCTACTACCACATTCTAGCAAATAATCAAGGAAAAAAAAAAAAAACAAAGGCAAGAAAAAAACTGAATTAATATTTATTCTGGGTTGAACAAGCAGTTCAACAAAAGCCAGGATCTGGGCCTAAATGAGATTATCTCATTGACGTGTTGCTACCGTCATCCATGGTAGGTGCCCCAAGGTAGGGATTATAAACGTCATTTCTGTTTACAGAAATGGGAACAAAGAACGGAGACAATAGAGATTAACTGGCTGGCCCGACACTGCACACGTAATGAATCCTAGAGCTGGGATTTGAACCTAGGCGGGCTGGTCACAGAGCATGCACGCCTAGCCCTTGTGCAAAACTGTCTCTTCAAAGAAATAAAAGCCTTGAGACCAGCTGGACGTGTCGGTCTGCTGTGCGTTCGGCTCAGGGACACATGTGTGGTTGGCTGTGATTCTGGACCGGAAATAATGTGACTCAGAGTAAAGATTGGCTTTGGGCCGTCCCTTTCAAGGACACCTGCCGGCCCCAGGCCTCCTCTAGGTTGACCTCAGCACACTCTAGAGCCATCACGCACTCCTCCAAGAGTCTGTTCACTGACCCTGTCTTCCCTACCAGACTCAAAGTTCCCTTAAGTCAGAGCCTGGCACACACGAGGGTGGTGGGCAGGTAGAGGAAGGGAGTAAAGGAGGCTGGGCCAGGAGAAGAGCTCCAAGTGGTTGCTGTGGGCTGGCACCCCGCTGGGCCCTCCTCAGCCCGCCAGCAGCCACTTGGCTGTCCCATAAACATCCTTTGAGCCGTGGTCGAACAGGGCACTGACATCACAGAGCCTTCCGTCAGGCAGAGGAGAGGGATCTTAAACAAATACAGGACAGGACAGAGTGATGTTGGGGACAGGTTTACGGAATTCGGGACCTTGGTGGCCAGTGTGTCATGAGGGAGACCAGTGGGGGTGTACTGAAGGAAAGGGGTCTTGAGAGCAATAATGGGGGCATGGAGCCGTGATCTATCAGGGAAGCCTTCCCCAAAGAAGGGGTATTTAGGCAGAGGCCCGAACACTGCCGGGGGGCAGGGGAGCAGGGGACTAGCCAGGTGCAGGGGCAGGTGGGGAGGGCAGAGAGGGTGGCCTAGATCGCAGGAACAGCATGTGTGAGGCTCCGTGTTGGGAAGGAGCTTAGCAGGTTTGTTAAATGCCTGAAAGATGGTGTATGGGTTCTCTACCCCTGCTGTAACAAATACCACAAACTTAGTGGCCTAAAGCAACACAAGTTTATTCTCCTACAGTTCCGGAGGTGCGAAGTCCACAATGGGTTCTTCTGGAGGCTCTAGGGGGTAAATGCGTTCCTTGCCTTTTTCTGCTTCGAGGGGACATCTACACTCCTCGACTCATGGTCTCCCCTCTCTCTTTCCAGAGCTGCAAGCAGCGTAGCATCTTCTGTCTCCGCCTCCCTCCTGGGAGGACCCTTGTCAATACATGGGGTCCTGGATCATCCAGGATAATCCCTCCATCTCAAATCCTTAGTCACATCAGCAAAGTTCTTTTGGAATATAAACTAACCTATTGAGAGGTTCGGGGTATGAGGATGCAGGCATTGATTCAGTGTGGGGGGGTGCATTGTTCATCTGGAGCCTGGATGCAAGGCAGGAGTCCTGTGCACTCCATCACTTAACCCCTGAGACATATCTAGTCCTTTCCAGGGGACTGGGAAGGCGAAGGGGCAATGGTGGGGGTGGGGGGTGGGGGTGAAGGAGCCCAAGCCCTGTGGCTGCCTGCATGGGTCAGCACTCCTTGGCCTTCCACACACACTGATTAAAAAGTGGCTTTAGGAGCGCCTGTGTGGCTCAGTCAGTTAAGCGTCCAACTCTTGATTTTGGCTCAGGTCATGATCTCGGAGTCGTGGGATCGAACCCCGAGTCTGGCTCTGTGCTCAGCAGGGAGTCTGCTTGAGATTCTCTCTCTCATCCCACCATCTCTCTCTCTCTCTCTAAAAAATAATAAATAAATAATAAAATAAAAAGGGAGAGAGAGAGAGAGACTGTATAAACACTACAGTGACCGGAAATACTGGAATCGGACTAATAAGAATTTGAAAATCAGATTGAAACACTATAACCAGATTAACAAATTGGGCTGCACAACCCGTAGCAGTGGCCCCGGTGAAACCAGGGGGGAGGATCACCCAATCTTTTCCAAAGGAGTGGAAAGGAGAGTGAGGATCTTTTCCCCACATCCCTGCTTCAGCTCGCTTCTCACACTTGAGTGGCATCAGCACGGCTGGGCAGGGGCAGGGGCGGAGTTCTTGCCCTCTGAGTTTGTGGATCAGTAGGTCTGGGGTGGGGCCAAAAGTCACATTCCCAGCAAGTTCTCCGGTGACGAAATCTCTGCTGATGCTGCCGGTCTGGGGAACATACTTTGGGAACTACTACTCTAGGAGGCTGCCTTTTTTTTTTTTTTAATTTTTTTTTAGATGAACAGCAAATGATTTTTTTTAACTTTTTATTTATTTATTCATGAGAGAGAGAGAGGCAGAGGGAGAAGCAACCTCCCAAGGAGCAGGGAGCCCGATGCGGGACTCGATCCCAGGATCCTGGGATCATGACCCGAACCAAAGGAAGACGCTTAACCATCTGAGCCACCCAGGCTGCCTTCTTATTTGACTTGGGCAATTTCTTTGGAATAACAGATTCTGGCATGAAAACAGTGTTGCAAACACCTGGACCTGACTTTCTCTAAGGCTTCCCAACAACAGGAGGAGCCTAAGTCTCCAGGATGTATTTACAAAGTATAAAGTGAGCAGTCCGTCTCCAGGTGCCGGGACAGCACAGTGAAAGGTTCAAGAGCACTGACCACTGTGCCTTAGAATTCCAGTTTCACCGCAGACAGGCTGTGTGACCTTGAAGTTACTGCCCCTCTCTGAATCTCTCTTCCTCTAGCAATGGGTACAAGTTAACTATCTCTAATGTAGGGAGAAATACGGAGCCCAGAGCTTGGTACATAATAAATCCTCCGTAAATGGTGGCAACTATTGTTCAACAAAAACAACAGTCAAGAAAACAGCCAAGGTCATGGAGGACGGCTAAGACCTGAGGCAGAGTATACAAGATGCTCCTCACCGCGGAACCCGGCACTTTTTCTGAGCCAAGCCCCAGAGGCACCCCCGGTGCTGTCCCTCTGGCTGGGACAAGCCTGCCCCCTGCTGGCCAATTTGACACCAATATACAGGCAGCTATGGTTTCAGGTTCAGGGTTTCTCTGGGATTGGCACTAACTGCAGATGTGGAAAATAATTCAAAACCAGATTTTCTGATTGTTCTTGGAAAACATCTGGCAGCTGGTGGTGAGCCTGGGTGTACCGATGCTTAGAGAATTCAAGCATGAACTTTTTTTTTAAGTTTTTGTTTTGATCACTCAGTGCTCATCACGAAAAGTGCATTCCTTATTCCTCAGCCCCTATTTCCCCCATTCCCCCACCCACCACCTCCCCTCTGGCAATCATTAGTTTGTTCTCTATAGTTAAGAATCTGTTTCTTGGTTTCTCTCTCTCTTTTTCCTTTTGCTTGTTTGTTTTGTTTCTTAAATTCTAAATATGAGTGAAATCATATGGTATTTGTCTTTCTCTGTCTTATTTCACTTAGCCTAATACTCTTTAGCTCCATCCATGTCATTGC